CAACCGGATCTTCCCAGAGAAGAAGCGATCAGAGACCCCGAAACGAGAGAGACATTCATTCAACATTTGCAGGATCTTCGTGACATTGTTGACCAATTATTCTTGGGCTTTGAGGACTTCCTGTACCGTATGCCATTCGGTATCAGATATCTCGCACAGCAGATGTATCAAAATCTACTCGAGAAGTTCTCTGGTGAGGACCCAGGATTTGTTCTTCAAACGGTTGGCCACTGGGTATGGAAAAATTACTTCCAGCCTGCTGTACTGGAGCCAGAGAAGTACGGTGTGATCGATCGGGGCCTCACCCAAGAACAAAAGCGAAATCTTGGAGAAATCTCTAAGGTCGTCGCTCAGATTGCATCTGGGAGACTCTTTGGGGCAGAGAATGTCTATCTTCAACCGCTCAACAACTACATTGGAGAGTCAATCCAGCGCCTAGGGCGTATCTGGGGTCAGATGATCTCAGTCCAGGATGCAGAGGCTTATTTCGACATCGATGAATTCAACGATCTCTATGCTAAGGCCAAACCTACCTTGTACATTAAGATGTCTGACATCTTCTCGATTCACCAGCTTGTGGCCTCTGAGATTAACTATATGTGCCCCCACCCTGATGACTTCCTCAAGGAACTTGTGCGAGAACTTGGCAATGTCAAGAGTAACGAGAATGAATTGATGGGCGTCAGCTCTACCGAAATCAATCTCACGTTGAATCCCAAGTTGGCCCAGGTCGAAGGTAAGAAATGCAAGCAAGCCCCTACCTATTCATTTTTCTAACTCTACCTCCCAGACCCCGAAGCAGATGTGAAGACACTCTTTATGGAGACTAAGCGCTGCATCCTCTACATCATCCGAGTCCAAACCGGTGCCAACCTAATGGACGTCATGCTCAAGCCACCGACAGCCGAAGACGAGGAGCGATGGCACACTTTGGTTCGGGAAGAACTGAGCAACAACAACCCTCGCCGAGGCGCCTACTCCGAAGCCAATAGCTTAATTGACATTAGTGCCATGAGTTATTCCGAGCTCAAGGGCATTGCACTCGAAAACATCCTTCGGCTTGAACAGAATGGCAAGATCAATCGCCACAACCATTATCAGGATTTGTTGAACGCCATCGCCATCGATATCCGCACCAAGCACCGTCGGAGAATCCAGCGAGAGCGTGAACTGGAGGGAGCTCGGCTGACCTCTCAGAGGCTCAGCAGCCAGGCAGTCTACCTAGACCAGCAGCTCAAGACATACAACGACTACATTGAGCAGGCCATGATCACGTTACAGAACAAGAAGGGAAAGAAACGATTCCTGATGCCGTTCACCAAACAATGGGATCATCAACGAGAGCTGCAAAAATCCGGCAAGATATTCAAATTTGGGTCCTACAAGTACTCTGCGCGCACTCTGGCGGACCGAGGTGTTCTAGTTGCCTGGAAGGGCTACGCCGAGCGGCAGTGGGATCGAGTCGACTTGACCATCTCAAGTAACGAAGTTGGTGTATTCACCATTGATGGGAGCAGCGGTGTCATGATGATTCCTGGCGCCAACGCACAGGTACCGCTGGACGACTTGCTGCAGGCTCAGTTCAACAACACGCAATTCATGGACTTCTTTGACGGACAGATGCGAGTCAATGTCAATCTTTTCTTGCATTTGATCATGAAGAAGTTCTATAACGAGTGAGAGTCATGGCTTATGGACTTGATGAGGGATGAATTGGGTGCACATTCTTATTGATATTATTACTTTTCCTGTCTTTTTTTTTTCTTTTTCTTGTCTTTGTTTAAGATACCATGGGTATTTTGTTGATTTCGATAGCGATAGCGTTCGGTTTATACGGGCGAATAGCATGTACACAGTATGATACCATTCAGTATCAATTGTACAACAAGTCAAATTTCCAGAAAACAGTTCAAGTAGAAAGTAGAATCAAGCAGAATAATCGTTTATTGTAGCCACTCGAAGTATACAAGGCCTGGTCAGGGGTTGCCACGTGACGTGGCGCATTCTATCGGGTTGCCAGCTGGAAACCGGGCATCTTCCCCCCTCCAACTGTCCACGTTAGTCCTGGGGGATTTCTGATTCATCCTGTGCTCGGCTTCCAATTGCCTGTGCTCCTATTATCTTTTCCCTCGGATCCTCGTTTTCCCATACTTCCCCTGACGACTACCAGTCACCCCTCACTATGGATTTCTCCAACCTCAAAGATCAGGTTAGCAACATGTCCTTGTATGACCTCAAGGCCGGTGTTCGCAAGGTTCAGAATGGTAAGTTTGAATCCCGCTTGGTCCGAATGCGTTATGAACAAACCTGAATCGCCTTGCATGTGTCTTACAAGTTGCGGAAACTGATTTGGCCGTTCCGTCATAGCTGTCATGAACTATACCGAGATGGAATCCAAGGTTCGTATGCAGTCGCCTGCCTCTGCGTGAACCAACATGGCATTTCGCAGGACGACGAGAAGATTGTGCGATCCAATGCTTACACAAGTCAGGTCCGGGAAGCTACAAACAATGAACCCTGGGGTGCCTCGACCACGTTGATGCAGGATATCGCCAATGGAACGCATAGCTAGTCAGTCCACGTTTCCTGATTGCCCGCCCCAATGCGCATGCGCTGATCTTCCGTTTTTACAGCCAATTACTCAATGAGATCATGCCCCTTATCTACAAGCGATTCACCGACAAGGCCGCAGAGGAATGGCGACAGATCTACAAGGTAAGAGAAGCATGGTTATTTATGCGGGTGTGCTATTACTAAATCTATTTTTCCCCCAAATCATAGAGTCTCCAGCTTCTCGAATTCCTTGTCAAGAACGGTTCCGAACGAGTCGTCGATGATGCACGATCCCACATGTCGTTGATTCGGATGCTTCGGCAGTTCCACTATATCGACATGAACGGCAAGGACCAGGGTATCAATGTGCGCAACCGATCGTCCGAGCTGGTGAAATTGCTGGGTGATGTGGATCAGATTCGGACCGAAAGAAAGAAGGCCAAGAACAACCGCAACAAGTTCAGTGGGTTCGAAGGTGGCATGGGTGCCGGAGCGGGCATGTCCAGCTCGGGCTCGGGCCGTTATGGAGGCTTTGGCAGCGAGAGTATGGGTTACGGTGGATACAGCGGAGGTGTCTACGGTGACGGCGGGGGTTTTGGCGGCGAATCTGGCGGGCAAGCTGGCGTTGACTTCCAGGACAACGGACGCCGGTCCAACCGCTTCGAAGAATATGACGAGTATGACGAGGGAGATGCCCCCGCACGCCCGCGTGAGCCTGCCGCCCGGGCGAAGCCCCAAGCAAAGAAGCCCGAGCCAGCTCCTGCACCTGTAGCGGATCTCTTTGACTTTGGCGACGACGAGCCTGTTACTACCACGGCTTCCACCTCGACTGGCAAGCAACCCGCCGGCAGTGCTCTCAACATACTAGACCCATCCCCAGCCGACGACGACGACTTCGACGACTTCCAGTCCGCAACCCCGGCTACCCAGCCTACTCAGTCGTCAAACCAGTTCGCCATCCCCCCTCCAGCTTCCACTGCCAGCACAAGTTCGAACACCCAATTCGTTGCGCCTCAGCCGATCTCCGCCTCGCAGGGTGCCAACATCAACGGCCTAGTTGGATTCAAATCGGCCACCCCCACTCCCTCTCCCCTTTCACAGATGGCCCCGATGCAACAGCAGAAGCCCTCCGGGTACCAAGCTGCCACACCCAATTACTTCACTTCCGTCCACGTGCCCCAACATTCGGGGTCCTCTCATGGTGCCACCCCCTCCATGTCCTCCGTGGCTTCCCCCTCAAGCACAGTGAACAAGCCAGCTTCAGCAGCAGCCAAGAAGCCCTCGGGTGACGCCTTCGGCTCGCTATGGTCGACCGCCAGCGCTAGCGCCGGCATCCAGAAATCCAACACCGGCACAAACAAGGGCCCTAACCTTGCTAGCATGGCCAAGGAAAAAGCCAGCGCCGGAATCTGGGGCGCCCCAGCTCCCTCCAGCACCGTCTCCACGCCCAGCCAGCCCCAGCACAAGCAGCAGTCTAGCTCGGCCTTTGATGATCTGCTTGGTTGATCAGCTAGCAAAGCAACTTGTGATCACCCCCTTCTTTCTCTACTGAGTCCATGCTCGCTTCTTACATTTGCGATATGGAGCCATGATTTTAGCATTCAAATTTCAGATTCGATTTTGTCTTTTTTTATTCTGCCTTCTTCCGCTGTTTTTGTATACTCCATTCCATTCCCATTTGTTCTCTTACCTCGTTGGTTCCTTACCTAGGTATATCTGCACTATAGCGGAGCAGGTTGCGAAAATTTGGCCTTCCATACCACTTCACGTAAAATTCTCGTCCCAAGCGCCGAAAATCGCGGGTCTCCGCATGTTTGGTGTTTTGCTAGTCGCGTTGAAAAAGCAGACAGTCCATATCCCACTGAAGAATAATACATCGAGATGTGCTTTATCCATCGGCAGTACAGCGGTATTCGGGCATACATTAAGGCCTTTTCAGACATACATTAGGGCCTCCTCATTGCTCGTACTTGCATGCTGTTTACGCTCTGCTTTCTGGTCTTTCTTATTCTTGTGGCTCTGAGATGTCTGCCCAGATTTTGTCTCAAAGTAAATCAGCTGTAGTACATTGACATTTGATGAGGTTATGTAGAGATATTGATCTAGGCTAAATAGAATATATCTTATGATAAGTGGCAGTTGAATAGATTTGAATCGGCATTATGCTGATGCTCATTGATGCTGGTATAACGCATGCGCTGAAGGGAACTAAATACAGGAGAGGGAAGACGATGAGGGGGTAATAAGAGGCATTGTTGGAGGGAAGACAGAACATATAAGGCGACAATATGGCGAAAGACTTGGGGTATGTAGTAAAATAAGGATTCTCAATCCTCTTTAATCCCAGGTTATGTTTCCCCAACGTGTAATGATTAGAAGACATGAATTGGGATCGTGAAGGAGGGATGATATACGTTAATAAAGAGGAACTTGCGGTGGGTAATGATTCATCGCGGGGAGATGGGTTGAACATAAGGCTGGAAAGAAAGAGATGGGTTTATATCTGACGAAACCGTCCGAAGAGAAGGTGGTTCAAAGAAAAAAGACCTTTTGAGAAGGAGCTCTGAAAGGTCTCGGAGATTAGGTGGTTCGGGTTTGGCGGGTGATCCACTAAGGAGGTGCTGATTGAGTGTTCATCGATGAAGCAACTCACATAGCGAGCCAACTGCGTGTTTCATGCCTGAGATCTCACCAGCCACAAGAAAGTGGAGGGTGCCAAGCTTTGCTTATCGGCTGTCAGGGTTTCATGGCGGGTTGCAACTTGAAACAGACAAGCCATCTCTCCAGGTGATCCGTGCACGGAGCACCGCCAAGGTTTTGCATGGACGAACAAAGCCATTCAGGGCTGATATTCGGTTGGATCAGGTTTTTGTCAGCGTGCTAGAGCGCTTGTCGGCGCCCTCGGCCATTTTGCCGGTCGTGATCCCGGTATCCGACGCAGGTTGAGAAGCACCTGCGCCTTCCGCGGAGGCTGCAGCTAGGGTATTACCGTTGGTGGCTTTGTTTCCAGACTGAGCGTTCACGTCAATTGAGGGCTGCTCTGCCTTGGTAGGCGTAGATATTTGGCCAGACTCGGTGGCGTTTAGACTGACGTCTGCGGTCCCGGTGACCTCAGGGTTCGGTTCCCCGTTCAGCGACGTCAAACCTCCTTCGATGTCTCGCAGAAGACGCACAAACTCCTCCGGGACAAGGCCATTCTCCCCTGTCTTGGGGTCTTCTGCAACAAGCCAGCCCTGGCCATGCCGGTATGAAACATAAATCACTTGGCCCTCAGTAAGAGGTAGTTCGTTCTCATGCTCTCGTGTGAAGTCAAAGAGTGCAACGGCTTTTCCATGCATCTCTTCATCCGGACAGCCAACGGCAAACTGATAGTCTCTAGAGTACCGGTTTCCACCGGGGATTTCATCTTCGGACTCAAAGCCAGGGTCATGTTCATAGCCCTGCTGGCCGCCCGGGGCGCTGTATCCCATGATTGAATAACGCCCTTCATTTGCCGGATATGTCACGTACTCACCACCTGGTCCATCATCTGACGTGTCTCCATCATTTACATAATAAGTCTCACTGCCATCGGCGTTAATGCCAACGAGCATTCCGCGATCATTGCTCACCGCCTGGCCAGTTCCAGACATGACTCTCTCATCTACAAGACCATTCATGTCAGAAGACTTCTTGCGATGACGCGAGGTCACAACTGGGCTATGCAGGTCTTCATCCTCGCTGTATGGTGGTCCATCCCCAAAGGACATAGCTGGCAACTGTTGGTGGACATGGCTAATCTGAGGTTCTATGCTCGGTTGGCCTGTTGACCACCCCCTCGATATATCCCACGAAGGTGGTGGATCGGAGAGGCGTCGGTGTTCACTTGCCGGTGTGGAGACTCCGGAGGCACGAGGAGGGGGAGGCCCGTAATGGAGGGGGTGGGTGGACGGGTAGGCAAAGTCTCGCACAAGAGCATATGGAAGGCTGGTATGGAAAATCGGGAAGACATGGGAGCCTGGGCGCGAACGATTTTGTGATGCAAACGAGACATTGGAATACGTTGAGAGCCGATCCTTCGGATGCGTCGACGACCGTTTCACCGTCCCATCGGTGAGGATGGGTGGCAGGACTGATAGATTGTTTGTGGACAGAATGTTCTGCGATGATGTGGGAGAGGACATCATGGTTGACATGGAGAAAGACCCAGAATTGAGATCGAAATGAGGAATAACGGGGCGGATCTTAGAAAAGGAAATGTGGGGTTGTTCATCGGTCGCGTGGTTGGCGCTCTAGTTTCGCATTGCGATTGATGTAGTCCAAGTTATTGAATTTTGCAGTCGCAGACAGCGGGTGTTCCTTCGATTCGAACAAGGGAGGTATATCTTGTGATCGGAGATCGAAGAAAGATTGAGTTCAGGTACGATGTAGCAAGCGCCAAAGTCGTAAGGGGCCAAAAACGATTTTAGGTTCGTGTGATTCAAACCAGGGGCAGCCCTTGAATGTCAAGCTTTTCGAGCGAAAAAAGGATGTTTATCCCCAGGGGCTCCGGTGTGGTGAACGGTGAATGGGTGGGTAATCGGCAAACGACACGAGGGAGGGGGGGGCAAATGTGGTCCGAGTGGAACGCCGAACCGCGACGGGGAAGATCTCACGATGAGAAGGCGATATTAACGAGAAAAAGCAAGCGACTTTGCAAAGTTTGCGTGGTAGAATATCCGTTCAAGGGTTCAATATGGGATTGGAGAAATCGAGACCGTTGTTCCAGCCGTTTGTCCCGCGATCTCGAGGACAGGGAATTGCTAAATATAGCAGAAAACTGCAGAAAGGGCCAATGTCAGATACAAATGTAACGGAGGCACAGCGCTTATGCGGGAAAGAATGTGCAGACCGCACGATGACAAGGATTAGGTCAAGGCCACATGGGAAATGGGAAATTTGAGGAGAAATAGACTGAGTGAACGCTCGGAGATTGCCATACCTGTCTAGAGGTTGTAGGTCAAACTAGAGTAATGATCAGCGCGTAGTTGGTTTTGGGATCGGGGGGGCCGTTGGTTGTTGGGACAATATGATTTATCGAGATGGACTGTAGCAAAGGAAGCAGGAATCAGCCGATATGCAAGGCAGCCGCTCAAGAGTCACAGAGTTGGGCGTGTGTGAATGGGTGAAGCTTGAACCCGTCGAGAGTCACGTGTCATCCAGACTTAGCGTGTTTCAAGTTTGGTTCCGTCTATTCCTGTTTGGGATTAAAGGCTATATATGGAATTGTTCTACTTCTATGCTTTCATGTTCATTTATGTATGTAGGGCATCTGATACATTGATTCAGGTTACAACGGGATACTAAGCTTACAATGGAACAAAAGGATTGCCATTTCATTGAGATTTTCAGTCGCTTTGTCCTATCTTGGATGTTTATGTCTTTCAAATCCGTTTTATGTGGGTTGACTCCCAGCCATAAATACAGTGCTGGTGATGATTTCCCAATCTGTCACTGTTACTGTTTTAGGTTCAACCCCTGTCGCAGCTAACGATGTGACAAAAATGCTCCGCTGAGAGGATGATGACTGAGAGGATGGCTGGGAGGATATCGGATCGCCGAGCGCATCGAACTGCGAAGGGATTGCAGCATTGTTGAGATCTTGGTCAGTCTCATAGTTGCTCTTGATTGCCTGCTTGCCGACCTTGTTCACCAAGTCCACATCCATACAAGTTGTGTAGATCTCGGCCTTTCCATTGGGATATGTGGGATCATCACCCGCAGCGGTGGGCCAGTCCCACACCCAGTAGAGTGTGTAGGGCTTCTCACTGGGAGCATTGGAGGGCAGTTGAATATCCTGCTGACACCAGAGGTCTGCTCCCATAAGCGGGTCTGCTGTGTGGGTATATTCCGCTTGTCGAGTCCCTGAGATTTCCCCCGAATTGACCTGGTAGCAACGGCCGTCGTCGTAGTTCTGTACTGACAGGAGTACTCCCCGTCCATCACCTCCAGTGCCATCTTGGGTCCAGGCTCCATGAACATCAAGAAACTTCTCGTCTGTCTTGGGTTCTGTGGTGCCATAAACATAAACGGATCCCCCATTGGCGGGCTTTCCGGGCTGGTTCTGGGGAAGTGTCACATGGCCGTTCTCCTGGTACCGAAGGGCAATCGCCGCGCCAGGGCTGGCTTCAAGCCGAGGGCTTCCCTCTGACTGAGTCTGATCCTGCTGGGTGTCCTTGCACATTTTGTCGGTTGGCAGAATCTGAGTCACATTTACCCTTGTGTTGGGCGGAATCAAGTAGGTCATGGTAGTGTCGCTGAAGCCCGATGTCGTGCGCAGGTAGTTCCCTCGCGCATACCCTGGAGTGCCGGTGAAGGTTCCATTTGGAGCAATGAGGATGAGCTCTTCCACCCAAGAATGAGCGTGTGCTGGGGTGTACAGAGCAAGAAGCACTATCAATATGATGGTCAACATCGTGATAGTGGTTTTGGATATGTAGGGTTCGAGGTCAAAGGTTGTAAGAATGAGGGTTTGTGGACTTGAAGAGGACGGCGGCCCCCCGATGTCAACTCGAGTAGGTATTGCAGTTTTTCTTCTTTGATCGTAGAGATATGGAACAGAGGTGAGGCCGCTCAAGCGGAAAGTGCCGTATTTATTGAGTCTAGAAGATCGATGAAGCGGCCAGGTCGAAGGTTGCAACAATGGGCTTTGTCGATATGAATAGGATCATTGGAATGATTGACCTGTGATAATAGGTGTGAATAGGCAATGGCTCAATTGTTAGTCTTTCACCAGACACCCCCAGCCCCCAACAAAAATAAGGACAAAAATGGTATGAAAAGGTTTCAAGGGAATCTGTTACACATAAAGAAACCATTGTCTGACCTCGAGGGCGTCTAATTGGAGAGGCTCTAACCTTATACCAAACTGTCATCGTTACAAACTGTTAATAGATTGAGATACAAGCCCAATGCCCTTGGCTTCTAGACAAAGCAGGGAATGATTGGGTGAGAAGACTCAGTTCTCGGGAGATATTTAGAGTCACGGAGTATTTCGAGACATGCGCGGTTCCGCTCCTGGCGCGTAGCCGTGACATCTGCATAACTTTAGGTGCTCGATCTTCCAAGCTTGCAAGTATGTTGCAGGTCTGCAGGTCCGTTGGCTCAGCAAGCACGGCCATTGGCTGATTCGGGGCCCTGGGCGCTTCGCCGTCGGAGTCGAAATTAACACCCACTTGAAAGAAAATGAACAAAGAAGATCCTCTTTAGCGCTTTAATTTCCTGATGATGAATTTCTTGAAGATTAATTTCCTGAAGATTGTTGTGTTTGCATTTTTCTATTTCACCCAATCACTTGCCATAGGCTCTATCCCTGCATATCGGGAAATGCCTGGCACTCACCTTTCTCTTTCCGCTTTAGTGCTCACCTCTTGCCGCTTTTTGATCACTGAGTAAAAGCACGGCCCTGAGTACCGTTAGGATCTCTACTTAAGGACCATAAAGCTATAAATCTAGACTATATACTATCTTTATTTGAAGCTATCCGTAAGAACCGCACCCGCGTTCAAATATTGTCTAGTATTAGGGCCGGCTAATTCACAGACAAACTTGCGCTATACCTAGACGAGACGGCACTTATAGCGCTAGCGTCACTTATTAAACGAGTATAGTATGACTTCAGGTGCGTTATACCTTGAGCCGACACGGTGATTGCTTGCTAGTAACGAATTTAGTACTGATAACTGACTTGCTCCCATCCTAGCTACATGTACGCAGCGTATGAGAACTTCTCTTAAATAGTTCTGTGATATAGAACAGAACCAGATGCCACCTACGCGGGCCGGGCGAGCGTGTGGAATATGCAGGATGCCAGGGCATAGAAGATAGACATGCCCAGTTAGAGAAATCAGCTAAGTTGAATTAATGTAAAAGCGTTGTGGTTGACATAAATGCAGTTAAAATTAATAGGTCGATATGGGTGGCCAGCTCGGTGGTGAATTACGTTATGAATGGCCAAGTTCCAAGGTTTTAGCATTGTTTGTTTACGTCTATGCCTTACCACTCGATGCTCGACGTATCCATGATGCCCGGGAAGAACAATAAGCTGGGAATTTCCAATCCCAAGGCAGGGTCCTAAACTGTAAGTCCGATGGCAAGCACGTAATAATGAGGGAGGTGGAGGAGGAGAAAGACTAGGGGGGGAAAGGGAAAGAAATACTTACTAAAGCATCCAGATCAAAACCTGGAGGACTGTCTGTCCCCATGGTTAGCGACTCAACCGAATCCTGCGGCGAACTGGCTGGTGAGAGGCCTGCAGCAAGAAATAGCATTTCTTTAGGCTTTCTTTGACGGTCTCGTAAATGGCGGGTTGGATCGGCTGGCCCGACTCTATTGCACGGATCTGGCTCAAAATGGCGGACAGGAAGTTATATTGCTTCAGACTGGGATTACCGAGAGCGATAATCTGCAGCAGCTGCTCCTGAATGTGTTCTAGGCTCCGGATCAAGGGCGCTCGATGGGCTTTGGCCATTTCATCCAGGGAATCGGCGACAAACAGGGGAGAAGATCCCAAGGGCAGCGTAGAAGCCTCGCCTTTCTGATCCTGGGCCTGCTGGTCATCGCCAAGGTCACCATCTCGTCCAGTTTCCCACATGCACCACGTCCGTTTTCTCTGATGCGCTATCTCAGACCGTTGCGGGAGCTCAGCTTCGGCATCCTGTGTGCGGCCAGTTTTTCCATATACTGTGCGTACAGCACATCTATACTGAGGGAAGACATATTGCATCACTAATGAATCGTTCCTTTCAGGGGGACTGTTCGTTCCCTTTGATTATATCGTCGTCGAAGCCATCCACTACGGCATGTCGTCGCACATGGCGTGGTCCTTAGTTCCAATTCTCAATGGCACCAGTTTCTTCGGTCGTACCGTGCCCAACTATATCGCGGACAAGGTCGGTCGCTTCAACGTGATGCTCGTCATGACCTCGTTATCGGCTATCCTGGTGTTAGCATTGTGGCTTCCTGCCCGAGGCAATGGCGAGCTCATCACCTTTACGGCCTTATTTGGCATCACCTCGGGTGCGATCATCGGCCTAGGACCCGCCCTGATTGTCTCCATCTCGCCAATAAAGAGTTGGGTTATCGGATGGGTACTATCTTGGCCTTTGCTGCGGTGGGAACCTTGACCAGTCCGCCTATTGGGGGCGCGATTGCCGCCGACACTGGGGGCAGCTACACCTATACGTGCGTCTTTTCAGGCATGAGCTTTGTTCTGGGTACCATCGGCCTTGCTGCTCTACGCGTGCGTCTTTCTGGATGGGGGCTTACTACGAAGATTTAAATGACGGGCGTAATTACTGAATTGGAATTGGAATGGAGGAATCAGGAACGGACTGCGGGACACGCAAAGGGGGGGGGGGATGTCGTGAGGACAAGTCATGGAATAATATACTTCCCTTATCCTGATTTTCTCGTTGAAAGAATATGTACAACATTGTTCAAAACCTACGCAAGCCCAACTATTCTCTATGGAGCACACTTTCCGACGGTGTTCGTGAACACGCGATAGATCTCATCGTGCACGCTTGACGATATGTTCAATACTCTGCTGATTTTTTTTCTTCCGACTTACCTACGCTTACACATTCCTTTGGTTTCGATCGTGTGGCTGTGCTAGACTTAGTCTAGTTTGCACGGTCCTCATGGTAGTTAGTGCTTCTCAAATCCATGAGCATATGTAGGCGCAACCTAATATTGCGCTCTCCTCACCCGATTGCGAACACGTTGATCAAAATACCCCAAACTAGGACAATGGAACGAGACGCAGACAATCTTTACACCAAGAGCATTGGTGATATCATCCCCGCTGTCGACATATCGGGAGATGTCACGCTTGATTGGCGGATGAGCAAGATGGAAACTATGAGATGAGATAGGAAAGATACACGCTAGATACGACCGTGAATACAATCTCCTTTAAGGCAATGGGGCAATCAAAATCACTCCGTATCTATGTTGTATAGCACCAACGAGGGCCGTGGAAGATACATGCGCAGTAAGCAGCCACTTGGGGGCCTGGAAGGTTGCCTAAGTACAGCCCCTCTTGGTGGGCGGACCTGTGGGCTTATATAATGCTTAGTGAGTGCCTTTCGGGCCCCTGGCTTAGGTACGGTGCCCAGTTGTACTCGACCGAAAAAGCAGGAGGTGAGCACTAACAAGGGGCAAGCCACCTAAGGCACCTAAGGCACCTAAGGCAGGGAGGTGAGAAGTTCTGCGATTCCCAGATTTACCGGAGTACTCGGGATTCACCGAACGATCTTATCTTTTTCTCCTTTTTCACTTGGCAAGCTCGGTTACCGAGTTTATTATGGATACATGGAGTCTGCACCGGGTGAATCCGAGAAGATGATTTGACTCAGGGTTATCGGATTTTTATCAGATTTCTCCGTAGCTCCACCGGGTGGATTCCATCTCACTGGCATGGGAGAAATTGGGTGGACTCTTTTCTGACATGGACTCGCAGATTGGATGCCTGTCTCTTTCGACTTTCCTCTTCAGACTAAGGGTAGTGTGGCTGACGTGGACGGAACAAAACCTCATTTGAACACATGGCTAAGTAACCCTGGATGAAGCGAGTGGAGTCTTTGCTGATCGTTCTCTCCCACATTCTGTTTTGTGTCACGTAAAGACGTCAAGATCAGAGAAATAAATATAAATGGAAGGATTTTCCCGAAAAGATTCAAGATAATTCGATTCACTACGTAGATTGTGCAACATAGCAAGGTTATATGCTGTATCCTATGACAATACATATGTATGTAGTTAAAGGATCGACATGCATCCAGGCGTAACAAAGATAAACAAATGGCCAGTGCATCCAATAGCTCCAGATTCTTTAGCCTGTACGTTGTACGAGGCACTCCGTACTCTGTACGGAGTACATGGGTTTAATTTGTGAAAATTTCTCGAAAAGGTCTGTACTGGACTTCACTTGATATATAAATATTCAAATATTCCTTAATATCGCTATCTTTAAGCCATTTACAAGATATGCAGGTTCTGTATGAAATATTGCAGCCTGGATTGATTGTAAGCCTAAAGATTATCCCTTAATGAATGTCAGCTTGACTTGAGGTTCCGGTTTATTATTGTTCTGCCGATTCTTCTTAACCCTCTATCACTATTTTACTACTCTTGTTTTTTCTTTGTTTCTCTTTTTTTATAAAATACCTTGAAAACATCAAGAAAGTAAATTACCTGGCATCAAACCCGATTCCCCACTGCTTGGTGGCTTGGCGACCCCCGTTTGTCGGCGATACTTAATTCCAGCGGTCTCGGGCAACTTATTATTTTACCTTCAGGGGTGCCCTTACTTTTTTCCCTTTACGACCTCCAATTCCAAGGGCTGTGCCTTGAGCTTCTCGACTTCTCCCCTCGGTACGTATTCTTTTGTCTGGATATTAGTGGCTTCAACTAAGAGAGAAAAAAAAAACAGCCCAGAACCCTGCCCAGTCCCTGAACACCGACTTGTGCAGCCCGCATGTGGTCGTAGAATTAGATCCTAATTCAAAGATTTCCCCTCCGGATTGGTTTTGGTGTAAAACACCATTCCACGACGGCTTTCCTCGCAGGTTCTGGTCCTTGCGGACCGTCTTAAAAACCCCATCAACGCCTTCAACAGACGTCCTCACCGCTTCCTTCGCGACTCGTCACCATGGCTACCTCGTTTATCTCTAAACGCCTTCGCTCAACCGAGGAAGAGCGCGAAACTCAACCCAGCTGGATCCGACGTCAGATTGTGTCAGGCCTCCAATCCGTCTCTCGCCGGGCCTGTGTGCACCCTATCCACACACTTGTGGTGATTGCTATTCTTGCTAGTACCACCTACGTGGGCCTTCTCGAAGGCAGCCTGCTTGATACTTCGAAAGACCCGCAAAGTGTCGCGGGACAGGTTGACGCCGATGCTCTTCTCCAGGGAAGCCGCAATCTGCGACTCGGAGAATCAACTTCGTGGAAGTGGCAGGCGGAAGACTCCTGGACTGACGCCAAGGTGAGCCAATTCCCCCCTGTTTTCTTCTTGGGCGCCGAGAAAGAAATACTGACTCAAAAATGAAATATTAGACCGAGAAGCCTGTTGCCCAGCACCTGGCTCTGACAACCCTCATCTTCCCTGATTCCACCAACTCTGATTCAACTGCCCCCGCAGCTGATGATGTCCCAATTCCTGCCAATATCTCCGCCAACTCCGTGCCGTACACCCCGAACCTCTTCTCGCAATTTACCCATGACGCTTCCCTGGTTTACACCGTGCCTTTTGACCAAGTCTCGGAACTTTTGAGAGCCGTGCAGGAGATCCCCACCCCATCCACGGATGAGGATGAGGAGGAATCTAAGAAATGGATCATGCGAGCTGCTCGTGGCCCGGCCTACGGATCCCGCAGAGCTGTAAAGCTCTGGATTGCAGATGCGTGGAATTCTTTTGTGGATCTGATCAAGCACGCGGAAACCATTGACATTGTTATTATGGCTCTTGGCTACCTCTCGATGCACCTGAGCTTTGTCTCACTTTTCTTCTCGATGCGACGATTGGGCTCCAACTTTTGGCTTGCGGCTACCGTGCTCCTTTCTGGTACTTTTGCATTCCTTTTTGGTCTACACGTGACCACTAGGCTTGGCGTGCCTATCAACCTCCTCTTGCTGTCCGAAGGTCTGCCATTTTTGGTTGTCACCATTGGCTTTGAGAAGCCGATTATGTTCACTCGGGCCGTTCTGAAAGCTTCTGTGGACAATCGCCGACCTCGCCCCGGTGCTGCCCCTCGCCCGCTGGCATCGAGCACACCGAGATCCATTCAGGACTCTATCGCAGCTGCGATCAAGGACCAAGGTTTCGAGATCGTTCAGCACTACTGTATTGAGATTGGTCTGTTGGCTTTGGGTGCGGCCTCTGGCGTTCAAGGTGGACTCCAGCAGTTCTGCTTCCTCGCGGCCTTGATCTTGTTCTTTGACTGCGTGCTTCTCTTCACCTTCTATACCACCATTCTCTGCATCAAGCTCGAGATCACTCGGATCAAGCGTCACGTGGCGCTACGCAAGGCCTTAGAAGAAGATGGCATTACCCACACTGTTGCCGAGAATGTCGCTTCTAGCAACGACTGGCCTAGCGCCGGATCTGGAGAGGCGGACACCAGCATCTTTGGTCGCAAGATCAAGTCGAGCAACGTGCGCCGCTTCAAGATTCTCATGGTTGGTGGTCTGATCTTGATTAATGTTGTGAACATGTCAGCCATTCCTTTCCGGAACACCGGCAACGGTGGCCTGCTGTCCCGTTTCTCCAGCGTCCTGTCTCCTACCCCCATTGATCCTTTCAAGGTCGCAGAGAATGGCCTGGACACTGTGTATGTGGCTGCCAAGAGCCAGAAGCAGGAGACTATTGTTACCATCCTTTCGCCGATCAAGTACAAGCTGGAGTACCCCTCGGTTCACTACGCAGCCCCTACCGAATCTGGTTCGTTTGATATCGAGTACACCGATCAGTTCTTGGATGCCGTGGGTGGCAAGGTTCTCGAAAGTCTGCTCAAGAGCGTTGAAGACCCTATCATCAGCAAGTGGATCATCGCCGCTTTGACTCTCAGCATCATCCTTAACGGCTATCTTTTCAATGCTGCCCGTTGGAGTATCAAGGACCCTGAGACTACCGCCGTTCCCGCGGAGCCTGTGGTCGCACCGAAGGTCTACCCCAAGTTTGCACCAAATGAACAACAGTCAACCAGAACTCCCGAAGAATGCGAGGCTCTGCTCAAGGAAAAGCGTGCGCCTATACTTACCGATGAGGAACTGATCGAACTTTCCCTTCGAGGAAAGCTTCCAGGTTACGCGCTGGAGAAGTCCATGGAGGATGAGAACTTGATGAGCCGTGTTGATGCCTTTACTCGTGCTGTGAAGATCCGCAGATCTGTGGTCTCCCGGACTCCTACTACCTCTGCTATCACTTCCGTTTTGGAAGACTCCAAGCTCCCCTACGAGAATTACAACTATGGTCTTGTCCACGGTGCTTGCTGTGAAAACGTTATTGGTTACTTGCCCCTTCCTGTTGGTGTCGCTGGTCCTATCAACATCGATGGGCAAAACTACTTCATCCCCATGGCCACTACCGAAGGTGTCTTGGTGGCTAGTACGAGCCGTGGCTCCAAGGCAATCAACGCCGGTGGCGGTGCAGTGACTGTTCTGACCGGTGATGGTATGACTCGTGGTCCTTGTGTAACTTTCCCAACCTTGGCCCGCGCTGCCGCTGCTAAGGTTTGGATTGATTCGGAAGAAGGCCGGAGTATCATGACCGTAGCTTTCAACTCGACCAGTCGCTTTGCCCGTCTCCAGAGTATCAAGACTGCTCTTGCCGGAACCTACCTGTACATCCGCTTCAAGACTACCACTGGTGATGCCATGGGTATGAACATGATCTCCAAGGGCTGTGAGAAGGCGCTGGACGTTATGCACAAGGAGTGCGGCTTCGAGGACATGTCCATCATCTCGCTTTCCGGTAACTTCTGCACAGATAAGAAGTCCGCTGCCATCAACTGGACCGATGGCCGTGGTAAGTCCGTCGTGGCAGAGGCCATCATTCCTGGTGATATTGTCAAGAGTGTGCTCAAGAGCGACGTCGACGCACTGGTTGAGCTGAACGTCAGCAAGAACTTGATCGGAAGTGCGATGGCGGGCAGCTTGGGTGGCTTCAACGCTCATGCTTCTAACATCGTGTCTGCCATTTTCCTGGCCACCGGTCAGGATCCTGCCCAGAACGTTGAGAGCAGCAGCTGTATCACAACCATGAAGAAGTAAGCTTTCCTCATCCACCACTTTTTGATATTTTAGATGCTAATAAGAATTTCCCAAACAGCAACAATGGCAACCTCCAGATCGCCGTGTCTATGCCTTCTATTGAGGTGGGCACCATTGGCGGTGGTACTATCCTTGAAGCCCAAGGCGCTATGCTGGACCTCCTGGGTGTCCGCGGCGCTCACTCGACCTCTCCCGGCGAAAACGCGCGCCAGTTGTCTCGTATCATTGCTGCCTCCGTTCTCGCCGGTGAGCTCAGTCTCTGCTCTGCGCTCGCCGCCGGTCATCTCGTCAAGGCACACATGGCCCACAACCGTAGCGCAGCCCCCACACGGTCCTCAACCCCCGTGTCTTCTGCCGTCAGCGCCACCCGTGGCCTTTCCATGACCTCCAAATAAACGATGACATGACCAGCTCCTACTGGCCCGCAAATGTGGGCCAATGTAAATGTGTGACTACGGCCCATGATTCTCCCGATACCATTCACTTTCCATGCAGACCCTGTGGCGCACCCATCGCCTTGTTTTTGCCTCTGCATAATAATGGGAGATCCTCTCAACTGACAGGGAAAATGTCACTTACCGACGCTATCCGGTCTCCGGACAGGCCGGTATTGAGGAATTATTCCATGCTGGTGGATCGGTAAGATCCAAATGAGGCCTATTAATGGCATCCCCCTCGGGAGCCCTAGAACCAACGCTTCAAAGCATCCATGCGGTTATTGAAGCTGTTCTACATTGTGTACTTAGTTTCGGGGTTTTTTTTTACACTTCCCATAGATATGACCGAAAGAATTTATTTGTTTTCAAGCCTCAGGTCTCAAATAATACAAGGTGGGACTGCCGGGTACAAAAGTATACGGTGTGCATAATTATGGGGCAGGTAAGGGCCTAGAATTGTCAACTCCTGAGTCCTTTTTGGGGGGATGCTTCTATTTTTTTAATATACGGAGTACAAGGTAGATATTTCAGGGTAAGTTTCTGGATATTATATTATTTAGCATGTTTATTTATATATATTTATATATGTAGTTAACTTCTTCTACAAGAGAGTACATACATTGTAGTGCACATGTGTAATATGCCCCTTGGGAATTAACCCCCTGGCCCGTGTCCTTGGCAAGGGAGAGGTGTATCGAATACAAGTACCGTATAGCCAACTTTCCTGCCTAACTATTGATCTTGTTATTGACAAGCTTTAGGGGAACGATGTTCTAGTATGCAGAGAGCCAAGTAAAAAAAAAAAAAAATACATGAAAAAAAGAAAGAAAAATAAGGCCCATCAGATTTGAAATCGTATCCTCACGCAATAAACCCCTGTAGATGCATACATGTGCAAATGCTGTACGGAGTAAGGAACTTGAAGTAACTGACGGGTATTGCCGTAAGGGAACTCCGGAGAGTTCAACTACACTAAAACCACTCACGCACTTTCGATTTGTCCCTTTTCCCCCATATCAGTCCAGTCCTTCACTCCTTCGGATCTGGTACTTTCGCTATTCTCATTCTTCGACTAATCACGACCTCGTGGCGAATCACGACTCCTCACCTCCGGCTCCATTGTCTCAGATTGGCACCTTAGTGGAGAAATACGGGGGAATTGTTTTTGCCGTGACGAAGTGAATGCCTTTATCGATTATCCGTGACAGCTTGCCCTTCGGACAGTGAGGTTGAATATTCATTGGTGGAGAAGTCGGAACACCCCCAGTTTGACCCTGATATGAATGGGGGTTCGGGAGCCATGTCGCCTGTCTCTGTCGATGGTAGCGAATGGTCGGGACTAAATCAGTATGGAAAGTCGGACTCACCATTCTCACCAACATTCCCATCATCGCGAGCCAACCTAGCCACACCTCCGACCTCCGGCTCCCCGAGCGCACCCCTAAGTCCCAGTGGGCCACCTCCTTCGCTGTCACCCTCCAACCGGAGCGGCAACCCATCCCCACCCAGTTCGGTCGCTGCAAGATCTAGTTCCGGAACACTAGGAGAAGGACCGCGCGATGGAAGACGGTACCGTCAGATGGAGGAGATCCTGGGCCAGCACTATGTGATCCTGAAAAGATTCCTGAATGGCACAGCCCGCGACGACCGTGGCAAGTCGAATAAAGCCCGGGACAAACTACTGCGGCTATCGCCAACCCAGTTCCACGAACTTTCCACCGATGTTTACGACGAATTGATCCGGCGGCAGCAGGCCTCGCCGCCTCCCGGACGGCCACCTCGTCCAGACGTGCCTCCTTACCTCCCCGCTCGCAACGACTTCCACGAAAAGCGAAACCATGCCCGCCAAAAGCTTGCTGCGCTCCACCACGTGCGTTTCCGAGATCTGGCGACCGATGTCTTCTGTGAGCTGGAGCGTCGCTTCCCACATTTCACCAGCCGAGAATACCGCGCCCGGCCGCCTCCCAATATGGGCCCTCCCAGCGCTCGTACCTCGCAGTCTTCTCGGGGACCCCCTTCGCGTATGGGACGAGGGTACCCGTCTGGCGGTCCCCCAGGCAGTCCGTTCCCTCCGCGTACTGGCTCTCTTGGAGGCCCACCGAGTATGAATGGCGATGGGCCGTTTCCTCGTTCTTTCCAGAGCAATACGATGGTTCCGAATAAAAGTACGATGGTTGAGGATAGCGATGATATGGGACCAGAGGATGAGGATGATGCTCGGAGCGATGCGTTCGCTCTAGATGCTGTTTTGAGCCGACGGGGTACTACAACGACCTTGGGTGACAGTGAGCGGAGACTGTTACTGGAGAGCCAGACACAAGTATCGGTTCTCCAAGACAAGATTGAAAAGTTGGAAGAATTGGTCCGCTCCAAGGATGAGGAGTTGGCCCAGTCATCACAAGATGCAGATTCCTCCGGGATCAGTCATAACGAGCGCCAGGAGTGGGACGACTTACGACACGACCTTGAGAGCAAGGTATCAAAAGCCGAGGATCTCAACAGCTCGCTTCAGCTAGAGCTTGAGCGGGTTAGAACCGAGCACGAGACTATGGAACGGGATCTTCGCAGCCAGCTCAATGACTCTTCCCGGGGTGTTGATGATGCGGGTCTACAAGCGCGCTATGTTGATCTAGAGACTCAGCACCAGAACTTACAAGCAGAGTTGCAGCAGCAGAAACAAGTGACTGATGAGGTCCGCCGCGAGGCATCGACTTTCCTCATGGAAATGAAGACCCTTTCAGCCGAGAGTCACTCCAATTGGGAGCGCGAAGAGCAGCTCTCGAACGAGGTCCACAGACTCGAGGCAGATGCCAACGAATGGAAAAACCGCTACGCCAAGGTCAAGGCGCAGCTGCGTCATCTTCGCACGTCATCCGGTGGTTTCGCCGACTCGCGGCCCGACGCAAGTCTTGTTGCCAAAGAGCATGAGTTGATGCAAGCCGACGGACTGGTCAAGGATATCCACGTTACTAAGTTCCAGGTGTCCGTGGATGAGCTCCTGCGAGTTGCGCGTTTCGAGGACTCGCATGTGGTGCTCCAACAGATCAAGATGGTCATTGTAACAGTCCGCCATATTCTCCAGGACGTGGAATATTCCCCGATCCCGGTGGATGGGTCGGCTGCTCTACGCGTAAAGGTCAAGGGCCAGGTGTCTACGACAGCAAACAACATGATCACCGCCACTCGCAACTTTGCGAACTCTAGTGGTCTGTCTCCGGTGTCACTCCTTGATGCAGCGGCCTCCCATCTTTGCACAGCTATTGTTGACCTCATACGGGTGGTGAAGATCCAGGCATCGCCTGTAGATGAGCTGGAGGATGAAGATTATGAGGCGGATGTATCTCAGGAGCAATTCCCTGACTATTTTGATACATCTGCCAGTCAAAAGCGGATGAGCAATAACTCTATCTACAGTGCTATGAGTCGTCCGGATGACTCTCAGTACCCTGCGCAGAATGGTGTGACCAATGACCTCAACCATGGCTGGGGGCATGTACAGGAAGATCACGAGGTGTTGGAACTTAAGGTAAGTCGATCCGAGAACGATAATATCGCAACGAATGATTTGCTGACGGGTAATCCTAGCTCTATGTCGAGGACCAGACGGATGGCATGGTACAACAAATTCAGGCTTTGGTGGCCAGTATCCGAGCCGAGGACAATCTGCATACTGTCCAGACGCATGTCTCTGCCATTTCAAACGTTGTTGTGAATGTGATTTCCGCTACAGAGCACCTGATACGCGAACGCAGCGGAGACATCTCTTTGCGGCAGACGTCTGAACCGGTTATCGCGGCATTGGACCAGTGCCGTGGCCGGTTGGCGGCCACTGCTGGTGAGGGTGAAGACGCCACCACCCCCGAGCAACTCCGTGAGCTCACGAACAAACTGCCTCCCATTGCATTTGAGATTGCGCGGCAGACCAAAGACCTTGTTCAGCGCCTCGAGGACACATCGGTAGTTGCTGACGAGGAAGATGACTTCCGGTGATGAGCTTGATCTGAGGCATTGTTTCTCATGACACGAACTTGAAGCTACCCATTTTGTTTTTCTTTCCCCTCGAATTCTTCCTTATATTCCTTTCTCTTTGCACCTTGCTTTTCAGCGACTATTCATCTATGGCAACGAGTGGACGATGTCGAAACGATGCCCCGACATATGTGGCATTTATAGAGTTTCTTTCCCTCCGTCACTTTTCTTTCTTCCACATTTTCCTATTCTTTGTATTTTATTTTAGCCCCGTTCTATTGTTCATCTAGGTTTTTCGGCCTGATTTCATGTTGTTTGGTCCTTTTTTTTTTTTTTTTATCTCACGACCGCTTGCTGGTGTCGGGCTGTTATTTCCTTACATTTTGGATGCATACGGGTGAAATGAAAGTACTCCGTATATCTTCAGCTCTATGACTATCAATAAATCAACGCAAGTTTACCCCTTTAAAGATGCATATCTTCTCGTAGCCAAGAATCTAGTTCGGAAGGGATATCCCGGAAGCAATTACATAATCCCGGGGCTCTAGACGCTTTTTGGCATTGAGCTTCGGTTTTTCCCTTCTTTCTACTTCTTTTAATTCGCATTCCTCATCAATCTATATCCTTTGTAAGTGAGCTTGGTCCCTTGTCATGTGAATGCTAGAGTGCATTTCCACTTTGCTTCAGACTCTTCCAGCGACATCATTAGGCAACAAAAGCAATCATGTTTTCCCCCTGGAGAGTCTGGAGAAGCTCCAAAGTGGAGCCTCAGGCAGAAAGTGCAGAAGTGGTCTTTAGGTGAACCTCAACAAGCTAACCCCAAAGTAGCCCGGCACCCGAGTTCACCCGCTCCGCCCTGCCCCTCACCATGTTCTGCCGACTCAGGTCAATAACCCCACCTTCTTCCCTCTTCTCTTCTTCTCTCTTCAATTGCACTTCTTTCCACCCCGCTGCCCGATCTTTCGCTTCATCAACCGCCGCTATGTCCAACACTACCGCTTTCTTCGAGGTCCAGTACGCCCCTGCTGGCTCCTCTACCCGTAAGTTCTTCCATCAACTCTGTTATTCTCATTTCTGGCGGGGCAGAGAGTTTTTGCCTCCCCGCCCCAGTCTTACCTTGCTGCCTCCGACCTCCAGCTCTCAATCCTAGTATTAAAGCTTGGCAATTTCACATCGTGCTACATTAATTGGAATTGAAATTGATGCTAATTCCCTCATTAGCCAAGATTGGCCGCATCAACTTCAACCTCTACGCCAAAGAGGTCCCCAAGACCGCCAAGAACTTCGCTGAGCTTTGCAACGCCGAGCAGGGTCAGGGCTACAAGGGCTCTTCCTTCCACCGTGTTATCCCCCAGTTCATGCTCCAGGGTGGTGACTTCACCCGTGGCAACGTGAGTGTTTCTTTTTCTAATCCTCATAGTCGCTGCAATGCTCGGTATCTGACTTTGATGTTACTGGAATAGGGTACCGGTGGCCGCTCCATCTACGGTGAGAAGTTCCCCGATGAGAACTTCGTCCACAAGCACACCCGCCCTGGTCTCTTGTCCATGGCCAACGCTGGCCCCAACACGTAAGTCTCAGTTCATTATCCCAGCTGCTCCACATACATAGCCATACTAAACACCCCCCTCTTTTTTACAGCAACGGCTCCCAGTTCTTCATCACCACCGTTGTCACCTCGTGGCTCGATGGCAAGCACGTCGTCTTCGGCGAGGTCGCTGATGCCGAGTCCATGAACATTGTCAAGGAGATTGAGTCTCTCGGTTCCTCCTCCGGCTCCATCCGCTCCGCTGTCAAGCCCACCATCGTCAACTGCGGTGGCAACTAAAAAGCTCATTCTGGAGATTTAGTTGGGTGTTGGGAGGATGAATGTCTTTCTTTTCGTCATGAGCTTCTTTCCCAACGCTCCAGTGTGGCGTGGGACTAGCATAGGTGGCTTTCCCTTTTGCGCCTTGTAATCTAAAGTTTCTACCAAGCTAGCTCATACATGCCTATCTGTCGTGGGGATTTAATGTTCAATTTGTGAATTAGTAGTCTTGTAAGAACGAGTATCACTTTTGCAAGATAAGAGGCGCAAAGTAAAAGTTCCTGAAACCTACATCTCAATCTATGCATATTTCAAGCTAATCCACCGCAAAGCACGAAATTGATCATCAAAATTATCTTATTACAAGTCCTCTCCTTTCTTTTCCCAGCAGAGAACTCCAGGTATCCATGTCTGCGGCTAACTACATCACCTTACCCCGCGTGGGACGGCAGGTTTTTTTTCTTAGTGGAAAAGGTTTCCGCCTCCACTTCCGATGGAAGTTTTATGATATTAATAATGTTGATTCTATGCATGCTCTACTTTTAAGTCTGTTCCATTTATTATTAGAGGGCAATTGAGTAGAGAGTAATGGAATGAGAAGAGAGGGTTCATACGTCATGGCATTATGGGTGAGAGGCATATGCACCCGAAACAAGGAACAATAAATCTGGATACATGAAAGTGCATATTGCCGTCTGCCTTTTCGAGGAAGAGAAAACAAATACCGGGATATCAAATGGATCTAGAAATGCTGGAGTAGAATCAAATAAATCGAACATGAAGTCGAGACAAAACAACACCATGCACAGACACTTGTTTAACCGCAGCACTTAGTGACAGACGTAGCATCGAACCTGAAAAACAAGGCATGTTAGCACAAACACAAATGAAAGGTAGTAGTTAATATAAGCTGGACGAAACAACTTACTCCTGAGTCAAGTTCACCGGCTCCCAGGAGAAGATAAACGCGCCCAAGAAAGCACCAATAAAGATACAGATGATGATGTATCCATTGAAGTACATGGCAAGCAGCATGATGATATACGCAACAGCAAACTGCGCCATATGTAGCAGAGAGCGCACAGAATGTTCAACAATCGACGGACGATACGGGGCAAGCATAGCTTCCTGTCTCTCGATGCGCTGGACGCCGACATCCCGCAGGGCATTAGCGGGCGCAGCAGCAGCAGATACAGAAGCCTGCTTCTTCGAAGCGCCGTTCTGGGGAGAACTCGGCAGAGGAGTGATGAGGTCGTCGTCTGCACTAAAGTCGGGCTCTGCGTTGCCGCCGCAGCAGTTGGCTGGCTTGGTAGTGTCTCCTTCTTCGCTTCGCAGGGGAACATGGGAGATGGATTGAGCGGTGGAAGAGCCCGACATGTAGAGTCTTCGAAGACGGGCTCGACGCACTATGAATGAGTCGTATTCTCGGCCCAGACGGCGGAGGAGCTCAAGGCTCAGTACGAGGCAGATCACTCCAATGCATGAGCCGGCAAACATGCCGCGCGATTTTATGTGCCATGATTCAGCGAGGAAGCCTGAGGGCTGGTTAGCTGTGGGTTTGTATAGAGGGGTTGGAGGGCTGCGTACATGCGTCGACTGTGTACCAGTTCCAGAGCATCTGATCATAACTGTGAGTAAGCTTGAGTCCGGTGTATCGAGTAGTGAATCTGGGATTGATATTAGACGGACCGAGATTTTGCAGCTATTTCCCATGTCCATTCCGCTCATGTCCATTCCGGTGGAGCTGGCCATGGCTGCCGAGCCTGTTGAAGTGGCCGTTGACATGGTCATCCCGTGCATATCCATGATCGACTGTTGACTGGGGACCTTAGGAGCACCGAATCGAGATAATGTTGTGTTGATCAAGTCGAAATCAAAACAGAAAGTAGTACAAAATATATAAACAAAGGAAAATAGAGAATAGAAGAGAGCAAGCTCTTCCATCATATGATTCTGCCCTAATGGGAGCAATATGAGCACATTTATAGATTTGGCCCTAAAAACTTAGCGGCGAGGTAGTTTGAGCAAATTCTCGGATTGACCGTAACTGGTAACATTAAACGTAAGACAAGGGTATCAACTTGAACAATTCTCCCATTTGAATCTCCTTTTTGGTTTTCTTTTTTCTTTTTCTTTTTCTGCGTCACCCCCGGGATCCTTTGATGACACCTTCCAATAACTCGCGGATCTGACTGCACCCATCAATCCCGACCGCCAACATTGTCTCAAGGTACGTAGCGTGCACCTTAGACTCCATAGTAAGCACACACACCTTCATTGCCTCTTCGTCTTCATCCATATTGTTCTCGCCAACGGGCACCGCCGTCGTCGTCGCCACAGTGAGCGAAGGCAGTTCCTGTTCTTCCGGAAGCGACAGATCCAGCAGCGGGTCAAGCTCGTCGTGTCGCGGGTCACGCGGTGTAGAGGCACTACCGCTCATACCGGAAGTACAGCCAGTGAGTAGTCCCGGCATGGGGATTCCAGCGTCCACGAGCGCTAGGGTACAGGCGTTGATTGCCGCGGCGAGCAATGAGCCATCGGCTGAGAGAACAGAGACATGGATGCTGATTGTGCTGTGAGGATAAAGGTAGGTGTGGAGGTGAGACTGGAAGGCTGAGCGGAGGGTTGTAGCGATTCGCGATGATTGTCTGTAGTCCCCGGAGATTAGCATCGGCTGTATCTATATCTAGTCTGCTGTCCCTGTAACTTTCTCCCTATGGTAGGAGAAGGCAATGGGAAAGCGTATGAGGGTACATACCTGTCACTTCCACCGGCTCTCCGCTTGCGATCTACGCCGGCAAATCCGGCGACGTTGACATCCACTTCCACGACTGCGTGGCCACTTCCTGCAGCTCCACCATCTCCTCGACGACCCTCGGCAGGGCCGTGGACAGAGCACATGATTGATGTGTTGCCCATGGACAGATATGAAGAGCCAGAGCTGGCGGGGTTGGTTGAGATCTGGGCTTGGAGCAGGCGTAGTTCGTTCCAGCGGCGGCCGTCAAGGCGCAGCCGCGTCAGGGGATATGTCGTCGAGGTGTCCAGCGGCATCTTTGCGGATTGAGTTTCTGATAAGGACGAGAGTTGTTTTGAGCGAAAAGAGGGTATGGCAAGCAGGAAGTCAAGCTTTATTTTGTGTCCTCTGTGGGCTTAGGTCAGTCAGGTGTGTCTTGATTGAGCAATGACGGAGGTAGAATATTGTTCTCGACTTACGTTGACTTTATCGCATATGCAAAGAATCGAATGCCAAACCAATGAGAGCATCTTTTTTTCTGGTTCCCTTGCACGTGACCCCGGTGGAACAAATCTATGAACAGTTTCTACCACTTCTTTAAAACACTCAGGAGATATAAGCAGAGACTCAACTCTTTCTGAGATGGAAAAAAAAACAGAGCACCAAAATCAATGTTAAAGGATATTCAATTGAAGCTTTCTTGATCGAACAGATTCAACTTCGTTTTGTGGCCGTTATCGCCAGCCGTAGTTGACGTTGTGTCGCGACAGTCTGGTACTCCCACTTCGACTTACGCTCTGCCACCCCTTGAGGTCTGATTTCAGAAATGCAGAGAACATGGCTGATAACGAGGACACTGAGGAGGTCATCAACATCGATTCAGATGATGACGACTTGGAGGTGACACGCTATGCCACTCCGACCGCTAGCAGTATGACATCTCTCCGACGCATTTGACAGACAGCTCACATTCTCTCAAGACAGGTTTTCTGGTGTGAAACATGGGACTGCTACACCGATTAAACCTGGATCGCCACGCACTCTTCTTTCTGGGTCATCAAGCGCCGTAAAGATCCAGCCCGTGGACAGCGACGAGGAGGACGCGAACGATGGCGAACTAGCGTACAAGAAGTTTAAGGAGCGCAAATCCCTTAAGCGCAAACAAGACGCTGCCGCAACTCGCAAAGCTAAAATGCCAAGGGGAGATCCAATCGTTGGCCGAGTAAAACAAGAGCGACCAACGCCTCTGCCTAAGCGGCCGTTAAAACAATGGGGCGAGGTATCTTCAGAGAATGAGCTGATGGAGAATACGTTGCCTGGATACCTCAAAACCCGCCGCAGCCAATTCGACCGAAAACATAAGCTCCTGAAAGATCATGGACTGAAGCTACCACCCACCTACGAGGATGTGGATTTCTCAGATGATGAACGGCTCGAAGAGCTGCAGGAAAGACCTGCCTTTCCGGAGAATACCCGAAAGCAGGATTACAAGGACATCGAACTTCCATATTCCATGGGCATTATTCCCGCCCCGATCGCCCAGTGGTTGCGGCAGTATCAAGTGGAGGGAGTCGCCTTTCTCCACGAGCTGTTTGTATACCAAAAGGGCGGTGTCCTAGGAGACGACATGGGTCTCGGAAAAACCATTCAGGTGATTGCTTTCTTGACCGTTGCCTATGGAAAGACAGGTGACGAACGGGACGCAAAGCGCATGCGAAAGATGCGCAGATCCGATGACAGTGCTTGGTATCCACGCACGCTCATCGTGTGTCCGGGAACCCTTATCGCAAACTGGAGGGCCGAGTTTGCGCGCTGGGGGTGGTGGCATGTTGATAGCTACCACGGGGAGAACAAGGACCTTGCCCTCGATGCGGCGAAGTCAGGGAGGGTGGAAATCCTGATTACAACCTACACCACTTACATGAACAACAAAGACGCTGTCAATATGATTGAATGGGACTGCGTGATCGCAGACGAGTGCCACAAGATCAAGGAGCGCAAGTCGGGGACCACCCAGTCTATGAACGAAATCAATGCGTTATGTCGGATAGGGCTCACCGGCACGGCCATCCAGAACAAATATGAAGAGTTATGGACCCTTCTCAACTGGACGAACCCCGGTGCTCTGGGTCCGGTAAGCACCTGGAAGGCACAAATATCGGAGCCACTGAAGATCGGACAATCGCATGATGCCACCCTGAGCGAGCTCAGCAGAGCACGGAGAACAGCCAAAAAGCTGGTTGAGAACTTACTTCCACAATTTTTCATCAGGAGGATGAAGTCTTTGATCGCGGATCAGCTGCCCAAAAAGATCGATCGAGTCGTCTTCTGTCCTCTGACCGAGACACAAGCCGAGGCCTACGAGAATTTCCTTGACAGTGACATTGTCGATTATATCAAGGCATCTACAGAACCATGCGATTGTCGATCGGGCAAGAAGGCCGGCTGGTGTTGTCGCTGCCTTATTCCCGATAGGGACCCTCCAAACTGGCAATCTTATGTGTTCCCTGCTATCAATGTGCTCCAAAAGCTCAGCAATCATCTGGCGATCCTGATCCCGCAAGGAACAGACCCAAAGGAGAAGCAGGAAAAAGATAGAGATTATCTGGAACTTGCGCTGCCTGAACAATGGGAAGATCTTTATCGCTCGCGCGACTCGATCGTGAACTACGCAAACCCTGAGTTTTGCGGAAAGTGGAAGGTTCTACGGAAACTACTTAAGTGGTGGCATTCGAATGGAGACAAAGTTCTTATATTCTCGCATAGCGTGCGTCTTCTCAAGATGCTGCAAATGCTGTTCCATCACACTAGCTACAACGTCAGCTACCTGGATGGGTCTATGAGTTTACAAGACCGTGCAAAAGCTGTAGACGAGTTCAATGCCGACTCTCGACAGTTTGTTTTCCTAATATCAACCAAGGCTGGTGGTGTTGGGTTGAACATCACCTCAGCCAACAAAGTGGTAGTCGTTGATCCAAACTGGAACCCATCCTACGACTTGCAGGCCCAGGACCGAGCCTACCGCATAGGACAACTTCGCGACGTGGAAGTCTTCCGGCTTATTTCTGCCGGCACGATCGAAGAGATCGTCTATGCTCGACAGATCTACAAGCAGCAACAGGCAAGCATTGGATACAACGCAAGTTCCGAGCGTCGGTACTTCAAAGGCGTCCAAGAAAAGAAAGACCAAAAGGGTGAGATCTTTGGTCTGAAGAATTTCTTCGGGTACCAGAACACGAACATCGTTCTGCGCGACATCGTCAACAGAACAAATGTCGCTGAAAGCCGTGCGGGTGTACAGGTCGTCGACATTGATCTCAAAGCAGAAGATGAAGGTTACGACTACACCGATCGACCAATGAAATCCGAAGATGAGGCAATGAGCCAACTCGCGGCGATGATCTGCGGCGATGACGATGAAAAAGACCACAAGCCTTCAGCCAGTCTTCCAACACCGCATAAACACGACCCCGTTCAAGCGATTCTCGCAAGCGCAAGCGTGGAATACACCCACCTCAACAATGAAGTGATTGGTTCCTCGCGTGTCGAGGAAGACCTCAGTCGTCGTGCTGAGCTGGCTCCAAATGACACGACAGGTGACCGTCAGGTCTTCATGTCCTCGCAGCCTTTCTCTCAGCCGGCGGAGGAACCTATGCGATTCAAGTATCATCCTCCGGAGGACGTCATACGTCGCCAGTTCTGCAGTATGGCGCGGCGGTTTGGGTACGCTGATGCTACGGAGTTTGCGCTCGTTGTTGAGGGTATGACCCAGGCGCAGCGGCGAGCTTGTCTTGACCAGTGGTACCGAGAGAGGAGAGAGGTACTACTTTCTGCGGATTCAAACACTTCTAAGGAAGAGTGGATCAAAGACGAAAAGGTTCCTAAGGAGGAGGTGGATGTTGAAGATGAATGGATCAAAAATGAGAAGGGCCCCAAGAAGGAGAGTCCGGGTCTTTGAGTGGTTTTACTTTTGTTGCTATTCCTTATTGCTCGATACCCCTTTCTAGTTGTATAACATCCATTGAATGCGATATTTGATCACACCCGCTAA